CATATTTTATCGATTTTTCCTGGTTTCATTGCTTACCTGCAGACGGCTGGCCTTTCGATCTCTGTTCGTTGGAATACATGGTTTTATGAAAAAGAAAGAAATAAGAAACAACAGCCGATTAGAAGATTTCGGTGTGGAGACAGATGTCGAAATCGAGAATATGAATACGGGATGCGGTGTGTGAGCTGGCAACAAGTGCTCGATAATGAGATCAAATATGGCGACCACCAACCTGATCTACGCTCGCAGACATTACACGAGAATCCAGAGTGATAATCCAAATAGAACAAACAAAGTGTCCTTTCACAGTTCTCAATACAATACTCTTGTACGTGGTACAAGTTCCAAGTTGTGAATCCTTGTGTGAAATGGCAAAATGAAGGACTGAAATCCAGCGAGTTGTGCGTAAATTTCCTCAGCGGAACAATGGCGGCCCTGCATGTGCCTCGCTCCCGCGCCCAGTCACGTGACCCCAGTGACGTCAATCTCCCTATTTGGCAAAGGTTACACATTACTCATAATAGACTTTGTATTGTATTCTTTAAAAAACATGCTGCAGGCTTTTCCGTGTAAGACATACCGAAAGTGGGACAGGATCTACCAAAACTTACCGCATTCCCCCTCTTCTTCTTTGTTTCATTCATAAGCAGACCGTATGTTAAAAGATGGATGCGACAGTTGTGAAAAGACTGCAAAGTTTTCTCCGCACTGATTTGGTGATTAAAAAAACATACACGGCTGAAGTTTGGCAAAGGGGACGGGAATTAAGTTGCGGCATCTACGTGAAAGAAAAGTTTATAGCAGACACTAGGCACCCAAACTCAATATAGATGGTGCATTTCACATGCTGAAAAATTAAATTAAATGAATTCGCAGTTGTATTCAATCTTTTAAAACATAGGCCTACATGTTATAGAACAAAAATCCACGGCTGTCTCAATTTAACATTTTCATTTTATTTTTACCATGCCTATACCATTATGGTAATGGTAACGTATGTCCCGGACCATATATATAGTTTTAATCTTTATGTCGCTTTCTGATATATTTTCAGGGGCGGATCCAAGATTATTTGAAGGGGATGTCCGCTGATGCGAAGCCGACCCCCCCCCCCCCCCCACACACACACACACACACACACACAAACACACAAAAAAGAAACTTTTGGTATTTTAGAGGGCGAATGGTGGCATTTGGTACGGTTATTTAAACTGTAACTAAAGGGACTTTGCGTCATGGCTAATACCATGTAACGTAGGCCTATATGTTCCCCAGAAATATTGTCAAAAAGTTTCGATTCATCTTGCCCATGCAGTAGGTGCAATAGGAAACAAGGTTTTCTGTTTCTGACCTACAAATATATTGTGAGTCCATGTGTAGTTTGACAATTCTGATATTATATTTGGACCACGAAAGGGAAATAGTTTATTTTATGTTTATTTTGCTCTCAGTAGGGAGCCCCCCCATAGTATTCAGTGACAAGCAAACTAAAGTCACTCAAACATTTACTGCTCTATACAGAAGATTATTATAATTTTTACAACATTATATTTGTAGGAGATAAATTAAAGAACAAAATCAGTGATGATTGAATTTCCAAAGTGAGTATTAAAGCGTTTTCACAGCTGGTCGTCTTGCATTTGTGACAGTAACGTATGTTCCTTTCTGGGGTTAGGCGAATTATTCCGCATATTATTCATGGTTCCAGGAGGGTAAAACTTTGCTAAAAACTCCTTCGTGTGGGACCCTAAAACAATCAAAGTTTTTAATCTGTGCACTAAATAATTTTAAGAGCATGCCTGTGACCTCATTTGCACCTGTAGACTGAGTTTGGGTGAAGTGCCAATTTTTGTTGACTACTTATCATAAACACGAAAGGCACAGAAAGCATTTTTGTTTACAAAAGAGCATATTTTTATTCTTAACCTTTCTGTAAGTGACGCCTAGAGCTTCAGGGGTAACTTAAAACGGCAAGGGTATGCTAAAGTGCAGAGGTTTGTTTCATGTTATCTCAGCTCAGGGTGGTAGATGCGCGCAGAAAGCACATAAGGGTAGATCAAGGAGTGTATCCATTCAGTAATAATAATAATAATAATAATAATAATAATAATAATAATACTATAACTGACGATGTAAAAAAAAGTGTAATAGCGTCATAAACTCTCCCCCCTTCCCCGGCTCTTAGGATGAACTACGTGTGTGACGGAGACTCATCTAAACGTGAGAGAGAGAGAGAGAGAGAGAGAGAAATCAGACACGTCACCATAACTCATGCATTTTTACAGTAAAGAAGTAAAAAAAAAGAAGAAGAAAGGAGAAAACAAAATTCATCTAAACGTGAGAGAGAGAGGAATATCAGACACGTCACCATAACTCATTTTTACAGTAAAAAAAAAGAAGAAAGAAGAAAACAAAACTGTTTTATCCTCTTTGCAATATAATGGTAGTCAGTGACTTAGAGAGCGACTGTGTAGAGCAATCCGGAACACTGGGCACATAGCAATGTTGATTTTGCATTAATTTTCTTGTCTAACAAAGATACGCTTGGCATTATTGATCCCGCATTGGCTGAGGATGGAGCTCGACTATTATCGAAATCTGATGCACTGATTTGGTACCATTTTAAAACCTATTCAAAGGAGGGGGGGGGGGGGCTACACACACACACACACACACACACACACACACACGCCTATTACGGACGTTCCCTCGCCTTCGCACACACACACACGTGCGCGAACAAAAAATAAAATGAGTAAATTTTAAAGAACGGCAGATACAATATAGCAATAATCCAAAGTAACGGCAGGCCTAGACAATGACTTAGATAATGAAAACCTGGAGCAATCCGGAAAACTTCACAGCGATGCGAGCTTTACATTATTTTTCTTGCAAAGATATATTTGGAATTATTGATCCAACACTGCTGGAGATGGAGTTTAACTCTCATTGAAAACGCAACATAGTTTGGGAATGCATTCTGTCACATCTAACACAATATGATAACGAGAACGCTCTGCAAAGTTTAGACCTCAGTTGGGGACAAGTTGGCTCTAATCTGTCTCTTCATTGAGATCTCTGTGATAAAACGCCACTTTTCTCTGACTATTGACCAAACTATGACCCTCCTTTTCCAACAATGGCAATGACTACTCTGTAACAATTTGGAGATTAAAGATAAATAATGTAAGGTTCTTGTCGCTCACCTTAAAGAGAGATTTAAAAAAAAAAAACCTCTAATGGCTGTGCCTATTTTTTGGTATATCAGAAGAACCATAGTTTGACACTGAAATCAATCCATAACTTTAAATGTTATGTGCAAAGTGAAATTGTTCCAAGGTAAATTGAATTTACTTTTGTCATAGAAGATGTTAATCTGTTTTAATATCTCATTGTTATTTTACTCTGAGCCAAAACTGTTCCGTCCTGTCAAGTGTAATTCAGAATGTATTCTCTCAGCTTTGGATGCCAATCTTCTTTATATATATTTGCAATGGTAATCAGTATTAAGGTCTGTAGCTAGCACTTCAATAGGGAGATATTCTTCTTCTGAAAGAGCGGACCTATTACCAGTTACTTCAACCAACTTCAAAAATGGCATTGATCTTAGATAAAATTTTCAGCCAAATTGGCTGTTCTTTTGAACCCCCTACAAAAGGACCTGGGACACCATTATTAATAAGTCTTCAAAAATCAGGAGAAATAATTATATGACTCACACTAAGCAACAATAGGATTTTCTTTGTGCACCCTTCTTATTATTTTCACATTCTATTTCTACATAACAGAATGAGGCTGCCACTGATAAGTATTACATATCATCCCCAAGTGTTCACCCTGTTGTTCAGAGGTAACCGGGCACCTTCCCCCTGTTATCCACATGTCTCTACAGCCTCCTATAATCTTTGAATCTCTTTGCTTTCTAGTGTGATTGACCTATATTGCTCCCTAAGTTTCACAGGTCACTGAAAACATACTCTCTGATGACAGGGTGGGGTAGATGTCTGTTACAAAATTATTGTATCGCTGATCCTTTAATTTTGTACATTATTTTAGAAGACCCTGATATAAGACGATGTTGAAAACACATCTCTTTATTATAAGCATGCCGTCTTTATCAGCAATCTCTGAAAGTCAGGATGATTTCTATATGGGTACATAAGGAAATCACCCTGAATTTCAGACCACTGGCAATTAGGCTGTTATCAGAATGCCTCTCCTGTTTACTGGATACTTTGACCTTGGAAACTCAGGGTGCACAGAATGGGTTCAAGCTGGCACTTCAAATCTTGGCTGCAGCCAGATGCTATTTATCTTGGATAATAAAAACAAAATGTATTTAATTTTTTTGCCAGTATATTATTGCTTCACGTCTGCAGATAATTGGCTCCATCGTTTAAGTTCTCTGGAGAAATCAAAATTGTTGCTATTGTCACATTAACGGTTAGGTATAAAAACAAGTTTCTTTTAAAATGGTTTGTATTTCTTTAATTCTACAATATTTACAAGTTAACTGAGCTGTAAAGTGGGCGACCCAATACAACCCTTTGGCAAGTTCTTGTTAAATAATATATATATATAATACAAATGAATGAATGAGTGAGAAATAAATATCACTGCTGTTAATGATAAATACAAGTTCAAGTAAGATAATGCGTCGATGATTTTATGTTAGAATGCTTGAATTGTTTGCTCTAGGCACAATGTATGATAATGTATATTTGTATCTAAATGACAATAAATGAATGCTTAAGCAGCTGCAGGCATTATGACTGTCAAACAAGGCCCCAGATTTTACATCCAATTAACACTGTTCAAAACATAGATAATGAAACATGTATTTGGCAAAGCTAATGATACTGTGGCCATTAATTATTGTGGGGGGAAATATGCACCCACACAGATGAATAATCGACAAAATTAGAAGCTGCAACTTATGAAATCTCAATTGTCATGACTTGATGATTTTACATTAATGAGTCTGCTCCACCTGATTGGAGTTTTTTCAACACATCTACACTTACAAAACAAAAACACTCTAAAGACTTTGAGGTGGTCCTATCTTGCAGCACAATGCCCTCTTCTGACTGAACACATGGTGAACACAGAATGGCAAATTTTAGTAAAACGTACATACAAGGTTGGTCAAAAAATTGCATCACATTCCACACATGTATAAAATCTTTCATGAGCTAAAATCTTCACAGTGCAAATCTGACATTCATGATGTCACTTCTTGTTTGATTTCATCTTATTTGACCCTACAGCAGATAAAATGGCATTTCGTATTTAACAACCTGACTGATTTTGCTTTGGCAGTATTTGTTTTTCACCTTCTTTATTAAAATCCCATATTTCTTTGTTAATCACTAACAAAGCTTTAAGAGACTTTTCTGCATGTTCTTTTCCAGTACTTCCTCCAGAATATAGTTTTCTTTTGTCAACGCAAACTTGGTGACATTAATTCAACTGCTAAGTCTCAGTTTATCACATGTTTTCTTCTATCCTCAGATCCTCTGCAATGTTCAACAGTATCAGTGTCAAGTTTTGGGAGTACCAGGTATAACACCATTGCCAGAAGTTGTGAAGTCCAGGTCTGTGTTTTCCTCAGCTGATGGTACCACATGCTTTTCTTACTCAATGCAATGAAATGAGAAATCTGAAATAAATAAAAAATCCAAATTAATTAACTCATAAAATTATCTTGGAAACATTCAAAAAATAAAATAAAATAAAATAATAATAATAATAATAATAATAATAAATAATAATAATTATAATAATTAATTAATAATAATAAAAACAATTCAAAATGAAATTTGTCATAAACCAGAAACACATATACTGTTTGACTCCACTTAACAAAAAAAAAAAAATAATAAAATAAAATAAAATAAAATAAAACAAATAAAATAAAATAAAGAATAAATGAATAGAACCAATTAGTTTTGAGACAGAAAGAAAACCATATGGTGTTTCTTTTCAACATGGCACAGGTGTCTTAACAGTTAATGAAAAGCAATAATTGTTAAGAAGTGAAACAACACAGCCAAAGTAAAAAAAAAAAAACCTGTATCATTAGGACGACCCATATTTTCATCAAAATTTCCAACGTACTTTTGGAATAATCTTCTGAGATCAGTGTGTGGTGAACCAGGATACTGCTATAGGTGGTGGTTAGCCGGAGGGCGGCGTCCATGCCTTCCAGATTTCTCTTTCTTTTCTGAAGAGAAAATGAGAAAGTTCAGTACTTTTTCAAAGTGAAAAGTGATGCAATCTTGAACTAAAGCAGAGCAGGCAACTCTACTAATTTACCCATATTTTACATATAATTAAAGATGGACTCCTTTTGNAAACAACACAGCCAAAGTAAAAAAAAAAAAACCTGTATCATTAGGACGACCCATATTTTCATCAAAATTTCCAACGTACTTTTGGAATAATCTTCTGAGATCAGTGTGTGGTGAACCAGGATACTGCTATAGGTGGTGGTTAGCCGGAGGGCGGCGTCCATGCCTTCCAGATTTCTCTTTCTTTTCTGAAGAGAAAATGAGAAAGTTCAGTACTTTTTCAAAGTGAAAAGTGATGCAATCTTGAACTAAAGCAGAGCAGGCAACTCTACTAATTTACCCATATTTTACATATAATTAAAGATGGACTCCTTTTGTTAACAGACGTTATTCTATTGTTAACAAGACATAAGGCAGAAAAAATATGCATTTTGAGCACTGTCATGTTTAAAACTCTGCTTAAGCTGTATTTTCACTTTTTCCTAGTATTCTAAGTGCCAATATTCCAAACCAATCTTAATAAGTATTAGGATTATGCTTGTCTTGCAATGCTATCTATAGTCATGAATTTTCACTCACCTGTATATTGTCCAGATCTTATAGTACATTCCCTTGGTCCTGCACATGCCCTTAGCCTATTTAATGTCTTGTGGTATTGTTGTAGTGTCCAGTATTCTAAATCATGTACAGCATTTCTTAGCTGAAATAGTGGCATATGATAAGTTTATGTAGAGATGTTATAATACCAGATATATTTGAAATATGTTTATTTATGAATTCAATAAATATATAAGATTAGCTGAAAAAAAAATTAATAAAAAGAATGAATATTTCCAAGGTAAAATAGTTAAATCATTCTTTTAAATGTTTAAATTATAATTATGTGATGGTAAAAAAAAATGTAACATGAAACAACAAGGTCAACTGTCTTATCAACGTGTAATTATGCTTTAGTCTATGAGTTCTACCATTTAAATATCTATGTATTATTTTTAAATGTCAGATTTTATTTCGATGCTCTTACCTGATAAGGGTCTCTATTGAAGTCATAATAGCTGATAAACCCTGTTATAAATTCACAATAAAGGAAATTGTGAGAATCATTGATGGTCCGTATACACCAGTATGTGTTATTGTTGGAGTTTGGGCAGAAACAGAATGGACCCACTGAAAATAGAAAAATGTAAAATTTTAAGCACCCAGTGAAAGTATTTACATCATTCTCTAGCTATATATCAACAAAGTTTATACTTATGAAACAAAACAAAATCATGTTTTTATTTTTGAAAAAGATAGGTTATATGAAAGATGTTGGAGTGATTCAAGTTTGTTTTGATTGAAAATGAACCAATCAAACTTATTTTTAAAACTTGAGATGCATTTTAGCCCTAAGAACCTTTCTTGCAAGTGTGAGAATAACAGGTAACAATTAATGTTATCCTTTTTATCAGGAAATGCACACTTAAAGTGCCGTCAACACCAACAACAGATACAGGCGATGGCTATATACATCCAGACAAAGTGTCTTTTCACAAAAATTCTGTTTAAAAAATGATAAAAATTTCCTGGAATACTCACGGTTCCACAGTGGAGGGGTCTGCCAGTGGTCGTTGTCATGGGTGAAACACTTCATTGAAAACTGGTGACAGTCCCTCGTGACGTCCTTGTTCTTGCGCTTTCTGTGCCTTTTATTGTTTTTGCGATTTTTGCGTCTTTCTTTTTTTGGTTTTCTAGATGGCCTGAAGTTATTAGGGTTAAAAATTTGGTCAATATGGTGGTATGAATAAAACAAAAATAAAAGAATTTTTTGAATCGATGATTTTTTCCCCCTGTCAAAATTTGAGGATAATGTTAATACAAGACACCACTCAGGCGAATATATTGCTCTTGTTTCAAGCATTCCCTAAAAAGGGACTTTTAATATTAATTCATACCCTTCAATTTTGTACAAAATACATAGCTTAAGTATATTCCATCATGTATAATAGTAACTGACCTAGGCACCACTGTATTTTCAACAATATCGCCTACGGATTCATTCAGGCTTGCATCTTCACAAACGCAGTCCTCGCCCTTGCCAATAACAACAGCTGAAGAAGTCGT